CGAAGCAGGTCCAGAGGCTGCGGAGATGCTGAAGGGATGGAACATCTCTGGGATGAGGGAGCTGGGGCTGTTCATCCTCTAGAAGAGACACTGAAAGGGGACCTCCCTCATGGCTGTCAGAATGTGCAGGGAGGGGGCAGAGGATGGACCAGGCTCTGCTCGGGGGGCCCCAGCAATGGCACAAGAGGAACGGGCAGGAACTGATGCCCAGGAAGTTCCACCTGGACATGAGGAACAACTTCTTTGCTGGGCAGTGACCCAGCCCTGAACAGGTTGCCCAGAGAGAGTGTGGAGTCTCCCTTACTGGGGATATTCCAGACCCATCTGGACACCATCCTGTGCCTTGTGCTCTGGGATGGTCCTGCTGGAGCAGGGAGGTGGCACCAGATGAGACACTGTGGTCCCTTCCAACCTGACCCACTCTGTGATCCTGTGATTCCATGATTTTCGTGTCTCTGCCCTTGACTTGGGCTCTCAGCATTCATGGTTGCAACAGAATTTTTAGCAGAATTTTAGTGGAATTTTTAGTGCTGTTCTCAGAGATGCCAACACAACACCATGGTTGGCTCCTGATGTATTTTGTTTTAAGTCCTCTCTGACAGGGACATTTTGGGATGTCCTGGGCCATGACTGCCCTGCTGATCAACCACCACAGGGCAAGGCCAGGCCAGGCTGAGCCCAGTAACTCGTGTCTGAGAAAGGGCAGTGCTGTGAAAATCTGGGGGGCTCGTATTTCTTACTGAGCTTAGTGAGTCTGAAATTAATGTTGGTTCATGTGCAGAAGTGCTGACACACAAACATTTCTGGACAGCAAATGGCAAATGTGGGATATTTTTTTTATCCCTATGAAGTGAGTGAGTAGTTGGGAATTTTGGTCATATAAATGTGGGCTGTATCACCCAGGTATCCAGGAACCCCCAAGCCAAGACACTCACTCCTTGGTTTCACCCCCAAAGCAGGATTTGCATTTTGGGGAACAGAAAAAAAAGAAAAAAAAAGAAAAAAAATAAGCGAAGGAAAAAAAGGAGAAGAGAAGAGAAGAGAAGAGAAGAGAAGAGAAGAGAAGAGAAGAGAAGAGAAGAGAAGAGAAGAGAA